ATTAAATGTTTATATCTGTGTCTAAAATATGATTTTGCTTGAATCGCATAATCTGATTTGTCACTGTTTAGAATTATATTTACCTATTACTATTGAATGGGCAAACATTCTCAACCGCAAATTTAAGGCAGTCAAAGTGTTTGTTTTCGACGGCCTCAGTGCCCGTCGCCACATCCCAAGAACGTCCGTACGCCTGCATATACTCTAGACCAGCGGTTCCCAAACTTTTTCAGTGTAAGTTACTTGACATTGAGCAGTCTGTACCTAGCAAATAAATCCGATATTTACAATATCACGACTTCTTCTTCATCTTCATAATCAGAAAAAGTATTTGACACACATAATACTGATCTACGAGCATTTAAAACGTTAAAATATTTTATAATATTCATTCCTGATAATATATTTGTTCATTTTTCTTCTTCTTAAACCGAATCGGTATGCATCGGCCCATCGTGATTTTCCCTTCCAAATAATTTATTGCTTTATCATGGTCTACCATATTGTATATCATCAATGTTTCTTAAAAATCAATTGCAATATTATGGGGCATAATGTATATTGCATATGCATCTTCTACACTTACATAGGTCATCTTTTGAACATCTTTCTACCTCATTCAAATGTGTGGTAGACTTTCAAAACTCTTTTCTTTAGGTAACTTTCTCGGGAATTACCCGGAACTAAATCCGTTTTTCCAGTCTTCCGCATCTGGCATCCATTCATGCTCGGGCAATGCATATCCATCCACATTAACAATTCATTCTCAAAGTATCGTAAAAATTCAACATGTTTATAATTCCTGCCAACTGTGATTGGGTTATCACTCATCAATTTTAGGCCTCGATGATAGCTAGCTGATATGGTTTGTGAATGCGTGTGGTGAACATATTTTGAAGTGTTCATTATAATATTATATGAAAAACTCATAGAATAAATTTATTTTTATTTTAAAAATTATGATTAATTCTGAGAAAATTTCAATACTTTAATGATACTATTTGAATATTTAAGTTTCTGTTTAATTCAACAATTGTAAATTATCTTATTTCCATATGATGAATTATGACCTTGCAAAATGTTAAGTATAATTTTAAACATACCTAGGTATTACTTATAACATTTTTGATGATACGTATGTTATGATCTATATCAAAGTTGAATTTATATTAATCTAATTATTGAGACCTATAATGACATTGAAATGCGATGTGTTACATTTATACTAGTTTAAAAAACGGACTTTGCATGATAATTAATATATTTTGAAAAAAAAATGTAACCACACACAGTAATAACCAGTGTTGTTGAAGTATTTTCTGGATCAATAAAAAAAAAACAATTTATATTTGGTAAAGTTACCATTTAAAATATAAATAAATATATAAAATCATTAAATATTTAAATGATAAAATTACATTTTATCTATATCATATTATACTTGTAGTTAGTACCTACACCAAAGTTGACTTATGCAGTATACCTCTGTATAGAATATCGCCAAAAGTTATCATTCATCATTATGGTAATTGCCGCATATACCTACGCCAAGACACAATGTGCTATTATGGCTGTCTCTGGGCCCCGGGCCTGAGCTGTTCATGTGTGAAACATGATCGCCTTCATATCCAAGAGACCAGGATCGTTGTGTCCGCATTCTACATTTAACGCTTACTAAAATAAACGAATTAGCCCCTGGCGTGGCCGAAATGCTCGCAAGCTAATTATTCTTAAATTTTAAATATGGTATTTAAGAATGTTGGTTTTGAAGAAGTAGGCAAAGCCTCTATCATTCATCATTATGGTAATTGCAGCATATACGACAGGACATAATGTGCTATTATGGCTGTCTCTGGGGCCCGGGCCTGAGCTGTTCATGTGTGAAACATGATCGCCTTCATATCCAAGAGACCAGGATCGTTGTGTCTGCATTCTACATAAAATTGTATAAAAAGTTGTATAATGATAATATGGCATTTAAGAATGTTGGTTTTAATCAAACCAGAAAGTCAAAAATATAGGCAAAGCCTATAACCCTCACAAACGACTAGATAGTAGGTACTAACTAGGTATACTGGGTATATTATAGTAAATTACATAAAATACTTTACAACTTCATATATATATAATTGATAACAAAAATTCAAAAACATAGTATAAATGTAACGATCTGATTTCAAAATAAAAAAAAAAAAAATATATTAGTTCATGTGATTATGTCTTATAACTTAAATTCAATATGCACTAAAACATGATTTAGAACCTCATCTATATGTTTAATAAGATAGTTAATATTTTTGAATAATTTAAAGAAATTTTAATATTGAAACAATAGTTAATATTCAACGTATCACATACATTATAATATATTCTATATAATATGTAAACAATTATTATTAAAAAAAAAAAAAAAAATGAATATTTATATGAATCCCATGCATTCACAACTTATCTTTTCATTATCAAATAATTTATTTATTGCAATATTATACAACCCTATATGAAAATTTGGGTAGCGTTCGGCCAGTAATATAATGTTGATGATCAATATTAAGTGAAATTGTAGTAAGCACTCTGAGCCAATGAGACTCTGTTAAAATTAGAAAAAACCACTTGATTATAATAAACTATGATACTTAAATTACATATGGATCTACTATGAATAGCTAACGTCATTTTCATGGATTTTCTCGAGCGGCTTGGTTAACATACCTTCCGTGTCGCCATCTGGCGCGGAGTAGAATATTCTTACTATTGATTCGTTATAATTGTGATTTGTGGACTATTTCTAATCCGACCAGAATGGGGCATGGTCGGTCTTTATTTTTTTAATTAATTCAGGCACTCCAGGTGACCGTACAATGCGGCGTGGCTGCACGTATATTCTTGCCAGGAGCACCCGTTTTCAAAGGCGTAAGTCAGGCACTCCAGGTGGCCGTTGAACGCGGCGGAGCTGCACGTATATTCGTGCCAGGGGCACCCGTTCTCAAAGGCGTAAGCTAGGCATGTATCTTCGTCCCAGGGACATCCGTTTTCGTGTGCGTAATTCAGGCACTCCAGGTGACCGTACAATGTTGCCTGGCTGCACGTATATTCTTGCCTGTAGCACCCGCTCTCAAAGGCGTAAGCTAGGCATGTATCTTCTTCCCATGGACATCCATTTTCGAGTGCGTATTTCAGACACTTTGTACGACATTGGACGCTGCGGTTGTGCTCGTATACTTGTTCCAGTGGCATCCGATTTCCCGTGCGGACACGTAACCGGTCGTTCCACGCACGGTGTCCCAAGGGACGCCAATCTCGTGTGCTAATTTCATGCAATCGATGTGCCCGTTGAACGCTGCCTTCTCGCATATGTGTTTAAACCTATTGTCTTCGATGGCGAACTGAGACCGCCTGAACATTGTCTGCCTATCGTTGTGCTCGTCTTGGCTTTTGTCGATTTTTAATAATTCTAGCAGCGACTCACAACAATTTTTCATATCGATGTCTGGTGTGTCCATCAAGTCATACGTGTCACGGTCGATGTTGTTGCACGCTTAGTACTCCATTTTCGCCAGGCTGGGTAGTTTGTACATTTTTTCGGTGTCCGACGACGTCCGTTCCAAATGTACAGTAGAGTTCTCTCTACGCGTAAGTTAACGAAAACTCGAAATTATCACTCAGTACATTTAATAATAAGTACCGATACAAGGATGAACCGCCCGAGTTCACTATGACAATATTAACAACTCGCGCTACTATGAATAGCTAACGTCATTTTCATGGATTTTCTCGAGCGGCTTGGTTAACATACCTGCCGTGTCACCATCTGGCGCGGAGTAGAATATTCTTACTATTGATTCATTATACTTGTGATTTGTGGACTATTTCTAATCCGACCAGAATGGGGCATGGTCGGTCTTTATTTTTTTAATTAATTCAGGCACTCCAGGTGACCGTACAATGCGGCGTGGCTGCACGTATATTCTTGCCAGGAGCACCCGTTTTCAAAGGCGTAAGTCAGGCACTCCAGGTGGCCGTTGAACGCGGCGGAGCTGCACGTATATTCGTGCCAGGGGCACCCGTTCTCAAAGGCGTAAGGTATGCATGTATCTTCGTCCCAGGGACATCCGTTTTCGTGTGCGTAATTCAGGCACTCCAGGTGACCGTACAATGTTGCCTGGCTGCACGTATATTCTTGCCTGTAGCACCCGCTCTCAAAGGCGTAAGCTAGGCATGTATCTTCTTCCCATGGACATCCATTTTCGAGTGCGTATTTCAGACACTTTGTACGACATTGGACGCTGTGGTTGTGCTCGTATACTTGTTCCAGTGGCATCCGATTTCCCGTGCGGACACGTAACCGGTCGTTCCACGCACGGTGTCCCAAGGGACGCCAATCTCGTGTGCTAATTTCATGCAATCGATGTGTCCGTTGAACGCTGCCTTCTCGCATATGTGTTTAAACCTATCGTCTTCGATGGCGAACTGAGACCGCCTGAACATTGTCTGCCTATCGTTGTGCTCGTCTTGGCTTTTGTCGATTTTTAATAATTCTAGCAGCGACTCAAAACAATTTTTCATATCGATGTCTGGTGTGTCCATCAAGTCATACGTGTCACGGTCGATGTTGTTGCACGCTTAGTACTCCATTTTCGCCAGGCTGGGTAGTTTGTACATTTTTTCGGTGTCCGACGACGTCCGTTCCAAATGTACAGTAGAGTTCTCTCTACGCGTAAGTTAACGAAAACTCGAAATTATCACTCAGTGCATTTAATAATAAGTACCGATACAAGGATGAACCGCCCGAGTTCACTATGACAATATTAACAACTCGCGCTACTATGAATAGCTAACGTCATTTTCATGGATTTTCTCGAGCGGCTTGGTTAACATACCTGCCGTGTCACCACCTGGCGCGGAGTAGAATATTCTTACTATTGATTCGTTATAATTGTGATTTGTGGACTATTTCTAATCCGACCAGAATGGGGCATGGTCGGTCTTTATTTTTTTAATTAATTCAGGCACTCCAGGTGACCGTACAATGCGGCGTGGCTGCACGTATATTCTTGCCAGGAGCACCCGTTTTCAAAGGCGTAAGTCAGGCACTCCAGGTGGCCGTTGAACGCGGCGGAGCTGCACGTATATTCGTGCCAGGGGCACCCGTTCTCAAAGGCGTAAGCTAGGCATGTATCTTCATCCCAGGGACATCCATTTTCGTGTGCGTATTTCAGACACTTCATATGACGTTGGACGCAGCGGTTGTGCTCGTATACTTGTTCCAGTGGCATCCGATTTCCCGCTGCCAGTGGCATGTATCTTCTTCCCATGGACATCCATTTTCGAGTGCGTATTTCAGACACTTTGTACGACGTTGGACGCTGCGGTTGTGCTCGTATACTTGTTCCAGTGGCATCCGATTTCCCGTGCGGACACGTAACCGGTCGTTCCACGCACGGTGTCCCAAGGGACGCCAATCTCGTGTGCTAATTTCATGCAATCGATGTGCCCGTTGAACGCTGCCTTCTCGCATATGTGTTTAAACCTATCGTCTTCGATGGCGAACTGAGACCGCCTGAACATTGTCTGCCTATCGTTGTGCTCGTCTTGGCTTTTGTCGATTTTTAATAATTCTAGCAGCGACTCACAACAATTTTTCATATCGATGTCTGGTGTGTCCATCAAGTCATACGTGTCACGGTCGATGTTGTTGCACGCTTAGTACTCCATTTTCGCCAGGCTGGGTAGTTTGTACATTTTTTCGGTGTCCGACGACGTCCGTTCCAAATGTACAGTAGAGTTCTCTCTACGCGTAAGTTAACGAAAACTCGAAATTATCACTCAGTACATTTAATAATAAGTACCGATACAAGGATGAACCGCCCGAGTTCACTATGACAATATTAACAACTCGCGCTACTATGAATAGCTAACGTCATTTTCATGGATTTTCTCGAGCGGCTTGGTTAACATACCTGCCGTGTCACCATCTGGCGCGGAGTAGAATATTCTTACTATTGATTCGTTATACTTGTGATTTGTGGACTATTTCTAATCCGACCAGAATGGGGCATGGTCGGTCTTTATTTTTTTAATTAATTCAGGCACTCCAGGTGACCGTACAATGCGGCGTGGCTGCACGTATATTCTTGCCAGGAGCACCCGTTTTCAAAGGCGTAAGTCAGGCACTCCAGGTGGCCGTTGAACGCGGCGGAGCTGCACGTATATTCGTGCCAGGGGCACCCGTTCTCAAAGGCGTAAGCTAGGCATGTATCTTCATCCCAGGGACATCCGTTTTCGTGTGCGTAATTAAGGCACTCCAGGTGACCGTACAATGTTGCCTGGCTGCACGTATATTCTTGCCTGTAGCACCCGTTCTCAAAGGCGTAAGCTAGGCATGTATATTCTTCCCATGGACATCCATTTTCGTGTGCGTATTTCAGACACTTCATATGACGTTGGACGCAGCGGTTGTGCTCGTTTACTTGTTCCAGTGGCATCCGATTTCCCGTGCGTAATTCAGGTACTCCAGGTGACCGTACAATGTTGCCTGGCTGCACGTATATTCTTGAATGTAGCACCCGTTCTCAAAGGCGTAAGCTAGGCATGTATCTTCTTCCCATGGACATCCATTTTCGTGTGCGTATTTCAGACACTTCATGTGACGTTGGACGCTGCTTCTGTGCTCGTATACTTGTTCCAGTGGCATCCGATTTCCCGCTGCCAGTGGAATGTATCTTCTTCCCATGGACATCCATTTTCGAGTGCGTATTTCAGACACTTTGTACGACGTTGGACGCTGCGGTTGTGCTCGTATACTTGTTCCAGTGGCATCCGATTTCCCGTGCGGACACGTAACCGGTCGTTCCACGCACGGTGTCCCAAGGGACGCCAATCTCGTGTGCTAATTTCATGCATTCGATGTGCCCGTTGAACGCTGCCTTCTCGCATATGTGTTTAAACCTATCGTCTTCGATGGCGAACTGAGACCGCCTGAACATTGTCTGCCTATCGTTGTGCTCGTCTTGGCTTTTGTCGATTTTTAATAATTCTAGCAGCGACTCACAACAATTTTTCATATCGATGTCTGGTGTGTCCATCAAGTCATACGTGTCACGGTCGATGTTGTTGCACGCTTAGTACTCCATTTTCGCCAGGCTGGGTAGTTTGTACATTTTTTCGGTGTCCGACGACGTCCGTTCCAAATGTACAGTAGAGTTCTCTCTACGCGTAAGTTAACGAAAACTCGAAATTATCACTCAGTACATTTAATAATAAGTACCGATACAAGGATGAACCGCCCGAGTTCACTATGACAATATTAACAACTCGCGCTACTATGAATAGCTAACGTCATTTTCATGGATTTTCTCGAGCGGCTTGGTTAACATACCTGCCGTGTCACCATCTGGCGCGGAGTAGAATATTCTTACTATTGATTCATTATACTTGTGATTTGTGGACTATTTCTAATCCGACCAGAATGGGGCATGGTCGGTCTTTATTTTTTTAATTAATTCAGGCACTCCAGGTGACCGTACAATGCGGCGTGGCTGCACGTATATTCTTGCCAGGAGCACCCGTTTTCAAAGGCGTAAGTCAGGCACTCCAGGTGGCCGTTGAACGCGGCGGAGCTGCACGTATATTCGTGCCAGGGGCACCCGTTCTCAAAGGCGTAAGGTATGCATGTATCTTCGTCCCAGGGACATCCGTTTTCGTGTGCGTAATTCAGGCACTCCAGGTGACCGTACAATGTTGCCTGGCTGCACGTATATTCTTGCCTGTAGCACCCGCTCTCAAAGGCGTAAGCTAGGCATGTATCTTCTTCCCATGGACATCCATTTTCGAGTGCGTATTTCAGACACTTTGTACGACATTGGACGCTGTGGTTGTGCTCGTATACTTGTTCCAGTGGCATCCGATTTCCCGTGCGGACACGTAACCGGTCGTTCCACGCACGGTGTCCCAAGGGACGCCAATCTCGTGTGCTAATTTCATGCAATCGATGTGTCCGTTGAACGCTGCCTTCTCGCATATGTGTTTAAACCTATCGTCTTCGATGGCGAACTGAGACCGCCTGAACATTGTCTGCCTATCGTTGTGCTCGTCTTGGCTTTTGTCGATTTTTAATAATTCTAGCAGCGACTCACAACAATTTTTCATATCGATGTCTGGTGTGTCCATCAAGTCATACGTGTCACGGTCGATGTTGTTGCACGCTTAGTACTCCATTTTCGCCAGGCTGGGTAGTTTGTACATTTTTTCGGTGTCCGACGACGTCCGTTCCAAATGTACAGTAGAGTTCTCTCTACGCAAAAGTTAACGAAAACTCGAAATTATCACTCAGTACATTTAATAATAAGTACCGATACAAGGATGAACCGCCCGAGTTCACTATGACAATATTAACAACTCGCGCTACTATGAATAGCTAACGTCATTTTCATGGATTTTCTCGAGCGGCTTGGTTAACATACCTGCCGTGTCAACACCTGGCGCGGAGTAGAATATTCTTACTATTGATTCGTTATAATTGTGATTTGTGGACTATTTCTAATCCGACCAGAATGGGGCATGGTCGGTCTTTATTTTTTTAATTAATTCAGGCACTCCAGGTGACCGTACAATGCGGCGTGGCTGCACGTATATTCTTGCCAGGAGCACCCGTTTTCAAAGGCGTAAGTCAGGCACTCCAGGTGGCCGTTGAACGCGGCGGAGCTGCACGTATATTCGTGCCAGGGGCACCCGTTCTCAAAGGCGTAAGCTAGGCATGTATCTTCGTCCCAGGGACATCCGTTTTCGTGTGCGTAATTCAGGCACTCCAGGTGACCGTACAATGTTGCCTGGCTGCACGTATATTCTTGCCTGTAGCACCCGCTCTCAAAGGCGTAAGCTAGGCATGTATCTTCTTCCCATGGACATCCATTTTCGAGTGCGTATTTCAGACACTTCATGTGACGTTGGACGCTGCTTCTGTGCTCGTATACTTGTTCCAGTGGCATCCGATTTCCCGCTGCCAGTGGCATGTATCTTCTTCCCATGGACATCCATTTTCGAGTGCGTATTTCAGACACTTTGTACGACGTTGGACGCTGCGGTTGTGCTCGTATACTTGTTCCAGTGGCATCCGATTTCCCGTGCGGACACGTAACCGGTCGTTCCACGCACGGTGTCCCAAGGGACGCCAATCTCGTGTGCTAATTTCATGCATTCGATGTGCCCGTTGAACGCTGCCTTCTCGCATATGTGTTTAAACCTATCGTCTTCGATGGCGAACTGAGACCGCCTGAACATTGTCTGCCTATCGTTGTGCTCGTCTTGGCTTTTGTCGATTTTTAATAATTCTAGCAGCGACTCACAACAATTTTTCATATCGATGTCTGGTGTGTCCATCAAGTCATACGTGTCACGGTCGATGTTGTTGCACGCTTAGTACTCCATTTTCGCCAGGCTGGGTAGTTTGTACATTTTTTCGGTGTCCGACGACGTCCGTTCCAAATGTACAGTAGAGTTCTCTCTACGCGTAAGTTAACGAAAACTCGAAATTATCACTCAGTACATTTAATAATAAGTACCGATACAAGGATGAACCGCCCGAGTTCACTATGACAATATTAACAACTCGCGCTACTATGAATAGCTAACGTCATTTTCATGGATTTTCTCGAGCGGCTTGGTTAACATACCTGCCGTGTCACCATCTGGCGCGGAGTAGAATATTCTTACTATTGATTCATTATACTTGTGATTTGTGGACTATTTCTAATCCGACCAGAATGGGGCATGGTCGGTCTTTATTTTTTTAATTAATTCAGGCACTCCAGGTGACCGTACAATGCGGCGTGGCTGCACGTATATTCTTGCCAGGAGCACCCGTTTTCAAAGGCGTAAGTCAGGCACTCCAGGTGGCCGTTGAACGCGGCGGAGCTGCACGTATATTCGTGCCAGGGGCACCCGTTCTCAAAGGCGTAAGCTAGGCATGTATCTTCGTCCCAGGGACATCCGTTTTCGTGTGCGTAATTCAGGCACTCCAGGTGACCGTACAATGTTGCCTGGCTGCACGTATATTCTTGCCTGTAGCACCCGCTCTCAAAGGCGTAAGCTAGGCATGTATCTTCTTCCCATGGACATCCATTTTCGAGTGCGTATTTCAGACACTTTGTACGACATTGGACGCTGCGGTTGTGCTCGTATACTTGTTCCAGTGGCATCCGATTTCCCGCTGCCAGTGGCATGTATCTTCTTCCCATGGACATCCATTTTCGAGTGCGTATTTCAGACACTTTGTACGACGTTGGACGCTGCGGTTGTGCTCGTATACTTGTTCCAGTGGCATCCGATTTCCCGTGCGGACACGTAACCGGTCGTTCCACGCACGGTGTCCCAAGGGACGCCAATCTCGTGTGCTAATTTCATGCATTCGATGTGCCCGTTGAACGCTGCCTTCTCGCATATGTGTTTAAACCTATCGTCTTCGATGGCGAACTGAGACCGCCTGAACATTGTCTGCCTATCGTTGTGCTCGTCTTGGCTTTTGTCGATTTTTAATAATTCTAGCAGCGACTCACAACAATTTTTCATATCGATGTCTGGTGTGTCCATCAAGTCATACGTGTCACGGTCGATGTTGTTGCACGCTTAGTACTCCATTTTCGCCAGGCTGGGTAGTTTGTACATTTTTTCGGTGTCCGACGACGTCCGTTCCAAATGTACAGTAGAGTTCTCTCTACGCGTAAGTTAACGAAAACTCGAAATTATCACTCAGTACATTTAATAATAAGTACCGATACAAGGATGAACCGCCCGAGTTCACTATGACAATATTAACAACTCGCGCTACTATGAATAGCTAACGTCATTTTCATGGATTTTCTCGAGCGGCTTGGTTAACATACCTGCCGTGTCACCATCTGGCGCGGAGTAGAATATTCTTACTATTGATTCATTATACTTGTGATTTGTGGACTATTTCTAATCCGACCAGAATGGGGCATGGTCGGTCTTTATTTTTTTAATTAATTCAGGCACTCCAGGTGACCGTACAATGCGGCGTGGCTGCACGTATATTCTTGCCAGGAGCACCCGTTTTCAAAGGCGTAAGTCAGGCACTCCAGGTGGCCGTTGAACGCGGCGGAGCTGCACGTATATTCGTGCCAGGGGCACCCGTTCTCAAAGGCGTAAGCTAGGCATGTATCTTCGTCCCAGGGACATCCGTTTTCGTGTGCGTAATTCAGGCACTCCAGGTGACCGTACAATGTTGCCTGGCTGCACGTATATTCTTGCCTGTAGCACCCGCTCTCAAAGGCGTAAGCTAGGCATGTATCTTCTTCCCATGGACATCCATTTTCGAGTGCGTATTTCAGACACTTTGTACGACATTGGACGCTGCGGTTGTGCTCGTATACTTGTTCCAGTGGCATCCGATTTCCCGTGCGGACACGTAACCGGTCGTTCCACGCACGGTGTCCCAAGGGACGCCAATCTCGTGTGCTAATTTCATGCAATCGATGTGCCCGTTGAACGCTGCCTTCTCGCATATGTGTTTAAACCTATTGTCTTCGATGGCGAACTGAGACCGCCTGAACATTGTCTGCCTATCGTTGTGCTCGTCTTGGCTTTTGTCGATTTTTAATAATTCTAGCAGCGACTCACAACAATTTTTCATATCGATGTCTGGTGTGTCCATCAAGTCATACGTGTCACGGTCGATGTTGTTGCACGCTTAGTACTCCATTTTCGCCAGGCTGGGTAGTTTGTACATTTTTTCGGTGTCCGACGACGTCCGTTCCAAATGTACAGTAGAGTTCTCTCTACGCGTAAGTTAACGAAAACTCGAAATTATCACTCAGTACATTTAATAATAAGTACCGATACAAGGATGAACCGCCCGAGTTCACTATGACAATATTAACAACTCGCGCTACTATGAATAGCTAACGTCATTTTCATGGATTTTCTCGAGCGGCTTGGTTAACATACCTGCCGTGTCACCATCTGGCGCGGAGTAGAATATTCTTACTATTGATTCATTATACTTGTGATTTGTGGACTATTTCTAATCCGACCAGAATGGGGCATGGTCGGTCTTTATTTTTTTAATTAATTCAGGCACTCCAGGTGACCGTACAATGCGGCGTGGCTGCACGTATATTCTTGCCAGGAGCACCCGTTTTCAAAGGCGTAAGTCAGGCACTCCAGGTGGCCGTTGAACGCGGCGGAGCTGCACGTATATTCGTGCCAGGGGCACCCGTTCTCAAAGGCGTAAGCTATGCATGTATCTTCGTCCCAGGGACATCCGTTTTCGTGTGCGTAATTCAGGCACTCCAGGTGACCGTACAATGTTGCCTGGCTGCACGTATATTCTTGCCTGTAGCACCCGCTCTCAAAGGCGTAAGCTAGGCATGTATCTTCTTCCCATGGACATCCATTTTCGAGTGCGTATTTCAGACACTTTGTACGACATTGGACGCTGTGGTTGTGCTCGTATACTTGTTCCAGTGGCATCCGATTTCCCGTGCGGACACGTAACCGGTCGTTCCACGCACGGTGTCCCAAGGGACGCCAATCTCGTGTGCTAATTTCATGCAATCGATGTGTCCGTTGAACGCTGCCTTCTCGCATATGTGTTTAAACCTATCGTCTTCGATGGCGAACTGAGACCGCCTGAACATTGTCTGCCTATCGTTGTGCTCGTCTTGGCTTTTGTCGATTTTTAATAATTCTAGCAGCGACTCAAAACAATTTTTCATATCGATGTCTGGTGTGTCCATCAAGTCATACGTGTCACGGTCGATGTTGTTGCACGCTTAGTACTCCATTTTCGCCAGGCTGGGTAGTTTGTACATTTTTTCGGTGTCCGACGACGTCCGTTCCAAATGTACAGTAGAGTTCTCTCTACGCGTAAGTTAACGAAAACTCGAAATTATCACTCAGTGCATTTAATAATAAGTACCGATACAAGGATGAACCGCCCGAGTTCACTATGACAATATTAACAACTCGCGCTACTATGAATAGCTAACGTCATTTTCATGGATTTTCTCGAGCGGCTTGGTTAACATACCTGCCGTGTCACCACCTGGCGCGGAGTAGAATATTCTTACTATTGATTCGTTATAATTGTGATTTGTGGACTATTTCTAATCCGACCAGAATGGGGCATGGTCGGTCTTTATTTTTTTAATTAATTCAGGCACTCCAGGTGACCGTACAATGCGGCGTGGCTGCACGTATATTCTTGCCAGGAGCACCCGTTTTCAAAGGCGTAAGTCAGGCACTCCAGGTGGCCGTTGAACGCGGCGGAGCTGCACGTATATTCGTGCCAGGGGCACCCGTTCTCAAAGGCGTAAGCTAGGCATGTATCTTCGTCCCAGGGACATCCGTTTTCGTGTGCGTAATTCAGGCACTCCAGGTGACCGTACAATGTTGCCTGGCTGCACGTATATTCTTGCCTGTAGCACCCGCTCTCAAAGGCGTAAGCTAGGCATGTATCTTCTTCCCATGGACATCCATTTTCGAGTGCGTATTTCAGACACTTCATGTGACGTTGGACGCTGCTTCTGTGCTCGTATACTTGTTCCAGTGGCATCCGATTTCCCGCTGCCAGTGGCATGTATCTTCTTCCCATGGACATCCATTTTCGAGTGCGTATTTCAGACACTTTGTACGACGTTGGACGCTGCGGTTGTGCTCGTATACTTGTTCCAGTGGCATCCGATTTCCCGTGCGGACACGTAACCGGTCGTTCCACGCACGGTGTCCCAAGGGACGCCAATCTCGTGTGCTAATTTCATGCATTCGATGTGCCCGTTGAACGCTGCCTTCTCGCATATGTGTTTAAACCTATCGTCTTCGATGGCGAACTGAGACCGCCTGAACATTGTCTGCCTATCGTTGTGCTCGTCTTGGCTTTTGTCGATTTTTAATAATTCTAGCAGCGACTCACAACAATTTTTCATATCGATGTCTGGTGTGTCCATCAAGTCATACGTGTCACGGTCGATGTTGTTGCACGCTTAGTACTCCATTTTCGCCAGGCTGG